CCAAGTGGTCCATTTTCCCAGAGATACGTGTAGAAAGTGATGACAATTCACCTTTTTACCCAAGCATTTCCAAAGTGCTACCAACACAGCTGAAGGAAAAACCAAAAGTGTGAATGGCTGCTCTGAGGCAGAGGTAAAAATAGCCACTGACATTTTCCTTGTCTCATATTTGAGCCCTAACCACTGTATGTCTCATGCTATTTGTCACCCAAGAAAGATGGTAAAAAATAAGGTGTTAAATAAAATGACTCCTGTGTCTTTCTGTTGATGGGATGTGGAAAGGCAGAGGAGAAGGTTTCTGTGTTGTGGTGGTCAGTGACTACTCAGATCAGAGGTGTCTGAGAGAAGCTGTCATTGGAGGTGCTCACAAAGAGCATCTGTCCTGAGATTTCTGCATCTCTGCGAGAAATGCTGCCCAAAGCAACTCCCTGGACTGCCTTTTGCATGGTGGGTGGGATGGGCTTGAGCTTGTCTTCAGCATTTCTAAGACAATGTGTAAGATCTCTAATCTTGTGTGCAATTAAATGCAAGAATCCTTGCAAGAGGCATTTTGGGAATACTCTCCCTCATCTACATCAGGGTGGTTGACTCTCAAATGCTTTTGAGCATTTTTCACAGCCCCAGGAACATGGGGAGGAGATGAGGGCAAAATACAGCTCTGGGCTGAAAGTGATGCTTTCATGGGCTCTGTTCAGCCCTTTCTCTCTCCTCTGTCATCCCTATCCAAAGCTCTGAGGGTGTTCATTTGGCTGGCAAAGTAAGTAGTGCAGCAAAGGGCTGGACATGTTTTTGAGCTGGGCAGCATTGTCATTTGCTTGGCCTGAAAACAGTTTTATTATAAGGGGGATTCCTTTGCAGGCCCCATCAAAAATCACTCAGGTTAGGCTGATCTGTCACGGTGAGCTCTTTCAGGCTGATCTTGGTGCATGTGACCGAACTTTTGGTAATGATCTTGGCGGTGTCTGCAAAAATCCATCACCACTAAAGGTGGCCACCACCACAGATTCCTGTCAGCTGAGAAATGTGCCAGCTCCCTCCTCCCAAAACATCTCAGCATGTCCTCATTTCTCCAAATAAATGTCAGAGTATGAGAGTGCCAAAGAGGAGTGGGGAGAGAGCAGGGCTGTTCATCCTCATCACACTCAGGCCCAGCCTTCCTGCCCCACTCCAACAGATGAAATCAAATCAGAACCGGTAAGAGCAGCATCTTCCTTTCCAGTGGAAGGTGATGGAAGGTGTGGGCTCCAGTTCTCTCCCGTTTTACCAGAAAGCTGGCAAACAGATGGATGTTGTCAGCATTAGGATTTGCCATCCTTACTGATGTCCTGGGATTTATTTTAAGGATTTTTGTAGCTAACTGTATCCAAGCCCACATCACTGGGCTGAGAGAGTCCAGTAAAAGAATAGAACTGAGTGGGATGTTCTAATGAGCAACAGACACAAGATCCCTTTCTGCTTATGAACAAGTTCTTCTGTTTCACCCCCCGGGAAAAGGAACCAGGAATGGGAGATGTTAAAGCACCAAAAAGGAATGAAGATGTATCTGTAGGTCTGTGAGAGTAGTGTGAGAAAAAGTTACAAAAGAAATGTCAGCATAGGATCACACTTTTGGTAATGAGCTGATATATAAAATGTGGAAAATGTTAGGATTTCAAGCATCAGCTGTGTGCCCTAATGGTGTATTAACCACCTAATACCTTGGAAAAGGTTGTTAGAGGCAAGTAACAGAATAAACACAGAAGAAGCATGAAGCTGTTTTTACCTGAGGCAGAACCTTCCTGCAAAGGGCAAAGAGGGATCCAGGCAAGGACTACAGCATCCAGGATGAGGACTTGTGCCCACATACAGGCCACTTCTTTTAGGACAGTGGGAAGGAAATTTCCTATCCTTGTAGTGAGAGAAAGCAGAGAGAAAGCTGATCAATGTGTTGAACCTGGGGGGCTATCACAGCAGTACAAAGACTAGTAGCTTCAAAAGAGGTCAGTACTCAGAGTAGAGCTGAAAGAGTCAAAATAGTAGCAGCAGGAAGCATCTTTAAAATCCACTCTGAAGTATTAATAATGAGAATTGCAAATAAGGTCCTTGAATTGCTTTGGATGGGCATCTTGTTCCAAGGAGTGCCTGCCTGCCTCCCTGCACGGGTGCCAGTGGGACAAAGTCAAAAGGATTGTCATGGGTGAAAAGTGGAGAAGCTGTTGCCATTATTATTAGCATTAGTATTAGTATTTATTAGTAGTATTATGCCAAGCTCTTTCAAAGCTGATGGTTCCACCTGCCTTTAAATCTTCTCTTAATTTTCACCAAAGCATTTTGTTGTCTTCCATGGGAGTTGAGGAAATCCTTCCATCCCCATCACCTGTAGTGCACAGAGGGAGAAAAATGCAAAGAAACCTGTGTATGGCTGTCAGGCCCTGAAGTGCATTTGAGAATCCCACCAGGTACTCAACTGCCTATCAAAAACTGCGGCCATTTAATTCCCCAGGAGTCAGTGGAAGATCAAGAACGTGCACATGGGTTCCTGATATCACTGGGCTGAGATGCTTTTTCGCTGCCTGCTGCAAGGAAAGGAGCTACAATATTTTTCTTATAGGGATTAGAATTAGAAACGCATTTGTTAAAGCAAAACAAAACAAAACACAATCTTTTGTTCAGTCTTACATGAGCAATACTCCTGGGTTTCTTCCAGATGTAGATGTATTATTGTTACAATAAATTAATATTTATTTTTATCTTCCTACTTTCCCTTTTTCTATTTAACCAAGTTGCTATTTTTGAGTTGAAAGCACACACACACAAGATGCAAATCCCAAATTTCAAAGGCACCTTCCATTAGGAATCGGATCTATTTTTGTCCCTGTGACTATCTTGCACAGCTCTAATTGTCCTGCCCCGCTCTGAAACCCACAGCACACTCCTCTCGCCAGCCTATTTTTGGTTTATTGCTCATTGTGATCAGCCTTTTGTGTTCCTTTTGATAGGGGCCAAATTTTTACATGAGGTGCTGAATCATGCATAATGCGGCTCTTATTTGTGTCTCAAAGAAATCTTCCTCCTCCTATTCCCCTGTACGTGGGCCAACATCTGGCACAGTCTCCCCTGTTTCCCAGACAGACAGGGGAAAAAGCACCTGAAACACATCAAAGCGCTGAGCAGCTCAAAACTGTTCATTTAATTATTATTACAAAGTGTCAGAGGGAGTTGCCAGCTTGTGGGGTGGTTCCTGAGTGTGTTTCGTCAGAAACCTGAGCACGGGAAAGAAGTGAAATGAAAGGAAAGGAAAAGAGAAAGGAAAAGAAAAAGAGTGAAAGGAAAGAAGGAAACGGAGAAAGAAAGGGAGAAAATAGAGTAAAAGAAAAATATGACTTTGAAACTGAGGTCTATGGACCTGGGGGTGAAATATTTAATTTCTGTACACAAAAAATACCATCATACTTGTGTGGGGATTCAATGAATTAACAAAATTAGTGGGAATTGATGACTTTTCTAAAGGCAAATTATTTATTATAGGCACTTTTAGGGACTGATGGAGAGGGAAAAGGGCACTTGATATAATGGGGTGTAAAATCCAAATAGTCCCATCTCTGCTGTAGGACTCAGTGTTCTCTGGAGAGCTTTCCCCATACTGCAGTATGTGCTCTAGCACTACCAGCTGTCTGTGTTCTTACATAGCATGACCACAGCCAGGTCTCCTCATACTGAGGGTCCCTTGTCCAGACAGCTACCAAGGCCAGCCAGAAAGTTTTGCCGCTTTAAAGGGATCTTTTTAAGTCTCCTGCAGATGGTGTGATTTTAGGGGTCACTACTTTTTCTTCACGTATGTGTAAGCACCATTTGATATGTTGATGTATTTTAACCAGGTAATGCAGAAAAAAAGACACAATATTGGGGTAGAATCTGCAGCAGTCTCCACCACAGAATCCTGTGTGAGGTGTGCTCCCTTTCTCTGAATGGCTTTTCTCATCCTGAACTTGGGGATGTTGAATGCAAAGCGTCTGATATCGGTTCTGCTGCTTTGTGTGCCAGCTCCTCACACACAAATATCCCTGACCTTCATGCATAGGTGCATTGAGATGCAGGTGACCCAGGTAAGGGGCTCCGGCACTGCTCTTTACCCCACAAGCCAGGCTGCCCACCGAATTGAGGCAGAACAAGCTCCAGTGGGTTTTTGTTTGCTGTTTGTGCTGGCCAGCTGCTTCACAAACTGTTGGGTTCTTTTAGTTCTGTGGGATGATCATTTTGGTTCCTTTGACGCTGTCACCTGGAGATGGAAATTAAAAGCCTTAAAAATCAAGTGACAACAATTCAGCATGTCCAGGAATGTGTGTGTGCCTGAGCACAGACCAAAGCGGGCTGCCCTAAGCAGGCTGTTAAGCACTCTAGAAGTGGAGTGCTTGAGAGTGGAGAGTGCGTTTGTGAGAGTAGTGGAGAAATGTTCTTCTACTTTATATAACTGGGGACCACATTCCCTCCAAGGTGGGAATTTAGTCATTCAGTGGCCAGGGCTCACAGAACACTCAGTCTGCCTTCCATCACGAGTGCTCAAGGCCAGGTTGGACGTGGCTTGGAGCAACCTGCTCTGGTGGAAGACGTCCCTGCCCGTGACAGGGGATTGGAGCTTGATGAGCTTTAAGGTCCCTTCTAGCACAAACCAGTCTGGGATTCTGTGATCTTCAAAGATTATTGGGCTAAGAAGAAGTGATTTGACTGCAGTCATGCAGGTCTGTGGAAGGCAGAGTTGTTATTGTGGATGTAAGAACTGAGAATTCCAGGGAGAATCCTTAAAGCTATGCTAAGGGGCAAAATCATGAAGATGCCCTCAGCTCCAGTCACATCAGCCTCTTGTCTGGCACTTGACATCAGAGATCCCAGCACTTCACATTATTAGAGATCTCTCAGTAGCTTCCTCCTTGTAAGTGCTGTCTAATGATGATTTGCTAGCTGCTACCTGTGAAGGTAATTCCTGCCATCTTTCCCCATCTCCGTGTTTCCTTTACATGCAGATGGAAAAGGAATGAGCAGCCTGTGCAGAAGCTGCAAGTGCAGACCTTGGGCTCTACACATTTCATGTCAGTGCATCCCCAGTGCCTCTGGCAGAGCTGCTCTGGGTTTCCATCAGCGTGCATGAAGAGAAGCAGGGACTGTCACAGGAGATGACAGGGGGTCAATTCCCATATTTCCATCTGGCTTTGAAGCTGTGTCTGTGACTGATCTGAATGTAGTAAAGCATGATTTATACTGGAGAAGGAGAGGGGAGAATTGAGTGCAACAAGCTGCATGCTCCAATGAAAAAAAGGCCACTGGAGAAGGAGACAGTGCAAGGAGGAAAAGGCCTCTGTGATTCTGTCTTTGCAGGTCCCTCAGGCAACATAACCGTAAACAGTCTCTTCAAAAAATATGAATATTATGCTCCTTTCTGACCCCTCCCCCCCCCCCCCCCAATTTCCTTCTGTCTTTACAAGTAGCTGAAGAAGATAAATATTTAATGACTTATTTCAATATTTTAATGTAGGTTTCTTGGTTAAAACACCACAAATCTCTGCTTGAAAGGGCAACAATAGAATTATGTAGTAATGAGCTTTGCAGCAAGTGGGAAGTTGATTGGAAAGGGGTAGGGGTGTGAGGATAAAAGAGGCAAGGCTGCAGAACATGGGGCCATACCTTCATCAGGTGGAAATCATCACTGTCTTATTTCAGGTGTTTCTTTCCAGACATTACTGGGTAGGAAAGACACAGACAATTTGCTGGTTTACTCTTCAGCAGTCCTTCCTATAAAAGCAGAGCCGTTTTCCTCTGCCATGACCTGGCAGGGATGTGTTCTTTTGATCAGAATCCCTACGGATGCTGCAGCGGGGCTGTAGCAGTTTAGAGGAATTCCTTAGCAAAAGGGGCTCAGTGGGGCAAGCACAGTCCATGGCTCAGCTTTCAGCTCCCCAGGGGCAGTTTCAGCACTCTGTGGACACAGAAGGAAGAGCCATAAGTGACCTGTGGTCCTTCTACTGCTGCAACCTGTGGTAGTGATTCTGCGCTCTCAATATATGATGGTGTGGCTGTAGACCTGTGCAGCTGCACCACCTCTTTTCCATCTCACATCCCACACCAGGACACTGCTCCTGCTGCTTCTTTCCTTGTACTAAGGTGGATTATTTTTGTTCAGTCAGATGTTAAGTCCTTTGTGCAGCCTTTTCACAAAGGCCACGTGTTCACTCATCCTGGTCTATATCTGAGGCTGTCCTCTTGCACAGTGCAGTACCTCGGTGGCACTTACTGGAATAAAAGCTAAACAATCACATCCTTACATCACCATGAACCTCACGCCATCCTGTATGTACTCATAGACTCATAGAATAGTTAGGGTTAGAAAGGACCTTAAGATCTCACATGGTGATTGCAACAGATAAGACACATCCCTGCTGCTGGGCCAAGGGAACCTCATTAAACAGCAGTCATCATGCAGTCAGGGGGTGATGCACAAAGTGTCAACCGTGTTCTTCTGAGACAGAGGAGGCTGCAGCCCAGGAAATGTGGCAGTGAGTAGTCTCTGTGCAGAGACAACCTTGGACTGGTAGCTGCAGTGAATATTTTATACTGTGCTCTCCCTCCCTTCCCTGTGTGATCTCGGCAGCACTCTCTAGCCAGCATAATTCTTTGTGAGTTACTTTCGTTAGCAAAACCTTTCACCTTATGAAGATGTTCTACTTAATTAGTAAAAGTTCAATTTTTTTGTCACTGACAGAGCCCCATACATCACCATGTCTGGAGAGTCATTAGCTGTAAAATTAATCAGGGTGGATAACGGCTGAATGGAGTCAGAGCCCTTTGTGTTCCTGCCCACATCTCTGTCTCCAACGTGAGAACTTTTACAAGAAGGGGAATCCAAAAAGCATCTCCAAATATCCAGGAGACTAGTTTCTGGAGTCAGGGTATTCCTGAGCCCAAAGTGGAGGTGGCAACAGGGCAAAGGAGGGGACAGGAAGCCGGAAAATTATCAACTTTGTCCTACCTTGGTCAGACCCAAGAATAACTCCAGCTTGGGGTTCTCTGAAAGGATGATGAGATTTTCCTTTCACTCATCTCTGGAAACACATCAAGGCACTCACTTGTTCACTTCTTCATGGGCAAGTATGGCTGGGCTGTGAAAAAAGAGGGATCAGATCCAACAGAAGAGTTTGATGCATACTGTAGCTTGAGATCTGTGTGGCACAAGAGGATGTCGTAAGGAAATCCAGGCCTACAGGAGAAAATCAAACAGGTTCATAACTCAGCCTGTTTAGTGGTGCACCAAAGGAGCCATGACATTGGGCTCTGCTTCATAGATCTACCTCAGTATTTCTTGCAGCTCCACTTTCCCTGCCCATGGCAGGGGGTTGAAACTAGATGGCCTTTAAGATACCTTCCAAGCCAAACCAGTCTGTGATTCTATAAGTCTTTATTTATTTTCTAGTAGTAATAGCAGTAAAGGAGACCTTACAGTTTGATTGGTAGCAAAGATAAATGATTCTGGATAATGCAAGTGACTGCAAGCAAGCTGGGATCACTTATAGTTTTGCATAACTGATCACAGGACCCCATTAAAAGAAAACTCCTCATGGTAAACTTCATTTTGGTACAGAACAAGACCAGACAGTGGGGAGAAGGAAATACTTTGCCTGTGTAAAAGTATGCCTTCCCTCTCGGTAACTTTTCTCCTCGGAAAACGTCTGACAAGCAGCCATCCTGGGAATGACTTCCCTGGGCTGCTGCATTACCTCCAGGACTTGCCAATTCTCTGCTGCCTCTGTTGATGCTCAAAACACTGTAGCATTCTGGAGTCTTCTTTGACTAACAAGTGACTCAAGGCCACTAGCTCTGTCTTTACACTCCTGTTGAGAGTAGTTAAGTGAGTTCCTTAACAAATGGGGAAGTGATTTCTCTGCCACATCCCTTCTGGGTATGAGTCGCACCCAGCCAGAATCACAGACGCTGAGGCCTTGTCCCTAAGAATGAAGCATGTATATCCGGGCAAACAGTTTTGTCCTTGGTGTCTGACTGATTTATAAAGCCTGTTTTCAGTGTGCTTGTGAAGGGATGAAGTAGGAGAAATTGGAGCTTCCTGCCTCAAAACTCAAGATGATGCCGTGCAATAGGACATCCCTTAAGTGTAGTGTCTCTCTGCGAAGCTTCAGAGGTTTCCTTGTTGCTTTCCTGTACAAAGCAAGGGGGGTAAAACAAGTCATTAGGATTCACCCAAACCCACATGGATTATGCATTGTTTCCCCTCCCCCTTTATCATTAGTTTTGAAAATAAAAGGAAAAGGGAATTTCTCTTAGGCTCAATTGGAAAGTTTATTTTTTTGTTAAGCATAAGAATTCTTTTCATCTCTGGGGACCCTTGAGCTCAAGACAGATAAAATTTGAGTAACAGAAAACACCATTTCTTTTTGAAGACACTTTTTGTTTCTAAAATGCCAAAATGGGATATTATCTTTCTTATTTGCTCTTGTTTCCAGATTAGCTCTTTGAGGGAGTCCAAACAAATCTGTGAAAAGCTTCCTGTGCGCTGGAATTACTTTTTCAGCAAACAAGAAATTGACCTCTAACATTATACCAGCTATAGTTAGCAAGATTTCTTTCAGGCTTTGCCTAAGATTTTGTTAGCAAGGACTGAAAAGCTCAGCTTCCAAACAATATGGACTTTCAGGACATACTGTGATTTGGCAATGACTGAAAAGCTCAGCTTCCAAACAATATGGACTTTCAGGCCATACTATGATTTGGCAATGTGTGTTGTATACAGAAGCCTGATGGGTGGGCTGTTGTCATATTATAGTATAAATTGATTTATATATTAACAATATCACATATACAGGAAGAAAGATACCCCAATCCCCCACCAAGATCCCATCTTTAAAGTACTTACCATTTGGACCATTAACACTTCAAATATGGTACAGATAATCACCTCTGATTTAGACAGAAGAAGGAAATGGTATTGATTCAGGATTATGGCCAGGTAAATAGGCCATCAGGCTGTTTGTTTTATGCTTGATGTTTAGTAAATGAACTAATTTATAGATAGGATTAGTGTGAGCTGTAGAACAGGGGTCAGGAATAGAAAGCAGCACCCCGCACCAGAGGCTGGATTACAAAGAAATATAGGTACCCTAAGTGAAAGACAAGATGTAAATCAGTCCCAATTCTAGTGCAGTGAGAAAAAGGAGTTCTCTCAAGTGCTTTTCTATCTGAGCTTCTGCTGCTTTGCACTGAATTCTCGTGAGCATAAACACACACCCTCATGCTGCCAGTTTGAGATGGGATAGATGGAGAGAAGGTGCAGGTACAGAGCTGTGATTTGCTTCCCCTCTGTGCCCATAAATTAGCCCCAAACATCCCCAGTGTGCATGTTTCACTCATCTACAACACCAACTCTAGCAGTTTTCTCCCTGGGGTGCCCTGTTGCCATTTGGCATTTGGCGTAGTCACGATGTTTCTCGCCTGCCAACCAAAACCTAGCAATTTGTTTGATATCTACTTGGGGAGCTGAGGAGAATGTTTTGAATGTCTACATCTCAGTGGAAAAAAAAAAGGGAGCTTGATATATAATTATACACAAAACACAGCTAAATGATTTATGGATTCTCTGCCTTTCTCCCACCCTCTTACAGTCAGTACCACTCTCCGAAAGGGGAAATTTATAAGTAGACCTTGACAGGCTAGGAGACAGTGGTCTCTGGGGGCTTAAAAATCAGCCTGAGCTTCAGCAGACACATTTCCCCCTCCTTTATGTGACTTTATGTTAAACCTTCCTCTGCTGATCTTGGCTTTTCTTTTCCCATCTCACCTCTTCCCTGCTGAGTAAACATTATAGGACAGGGAGCGTCTCTTCAGTCACAGGTCCACAGTGCTAAGCACAAAGCAGCCTTGATCTCAAGAGGTAGAAAGAAGCTAACATACTGCCAATAAGGAAAGCAAAGGCTCACCATCTCCCTCTTCTTGCGTGAAGCTGAGAGAGGAGTAAGTTGGTGTCCTTAAAAGGCTTGAAAAACAAATCACTTCAGTGTTTGCTAAGAGCTGAGTTTCACATGCTACAAAATAGGCAGGTGAGTAGGAGAACCTGCTCAGCTAATGAAGATCCAAGGTAGGAAGCAAAAGAGGAGCTAGTGAAACTTTCCCAGGAAAGCTAGACTAACTCAACCAGTTATTAAACTCTATTAAGCAAAGAAACATCAGCAAAGGATGATTTCTTGAGGAAAAGTTCCCCTTCCTCCATTTCACAGCCCAGCATCATGCAGATATCATAGAGAAGGGGAATCAGGCTTTTCCAAGTGTTTTCCAGCTTCATTGCAACATCTGCCCCAGGCACAGAGTACCCAGACAATTTGATCCAATTTGTTATCAAAATGCATCAAACTCTTTAGTCTCCCAAGTTCCAGGGTGAAAAATCTTTAAGTGCAATTCTAGAGCAAGAATGGCTCCAAGGCACCCAGGTTAGGACGAATGTGCTTTAAAAGCATCTGTTAACTCCGTACCTTTTTTTCAGCCATAAAAATTACTTCACACACTGTCTGCAATCCCCATTTATAGGGCTTCAGTACTTGGGTGGATGGAAAGAAGGAAGCCTGGAGCATGTAGAAGGGAAGCTAGCGCACATTTTGCAGTAATCAGTTAATTTGATGGTCTTTTCAGACTCTTCCCTACAGGGTGATGCCTATGCAAGTCTGGCTCTCTGGTTTTCAAAGCATCACCCATCCCCTGCTTCCTCACAAAGCATAGACAGGGACCCCAATCTGTTATTCCATGATTCTATGGCTCCTGAGAGGATTTGCTTCTCAGGGACCAGGGGAAACCCAGCAGCTCTGCACTTTGGTTGGGCACAAGCAGGCACGCAGGGGAGCTGCGATGTCCTGGTAAGGTGGAGCTGTAACCCTTAAGGGATGAATGTGGCACATCCAGCCTGCAGGGAAATGGGAGGAAGCAAAACAACCCGACTGGCTAGTAGGAGGTCTGTCACAGCTCATTGCAGACTAGATGGCTTTTGAAGGTCCCTTCTAACCCAAACTATTCCATGATTCCATGACCCCCAGCTCTCTCAGAAGGCCTGTTCTTCAGCAAGCAAGCATTTTACTGCCTATCACCCACCAAGGCTCAATGAGGAGTCACTCTTTCCTCTTCCAAATATTTTAGTGTCAGCTGCTCCCGGTTCCCCACCCTACAAAAAAACCACCCCAAAAAGCTTAAGGACTCTTTTCATTTTTCTTTACTATTGTCACTATTTTTCCCATTCCCCCTTGTCATGCAAAACCAAAACTAAACAAATAAACCCCATCTTAATTATACACAAGCACATGAACACCACAAAAGAGCTATTAACATAATCAGCAAAAAGTACTAATACCAACAGTCTTTCCTAGGGCCCTTTGTGCTGGGTGATGTTGGAACAGCCACTGTGGAGCAGTGCTGGGGAGTGGAGCTGTGCTGGGGAGTGGAGCTGCTTCTCCAGGCTATATCTCTCCCTCCATATCCCACTGTCCTCCGCACCCCTTGGCCACCCCATCATGACCCTCCAGGGCAACCCAGGGTGGCCTCAGCTTCCAAGGCCTCATCCTCTTCCTGCTTCTCCATGTGCTGCCTCTGCACCCTGGCCCACTGCAGATGCAGGATGCTCGGGGTGGAACGGGCATCTCCTGCCAGTTGGCGGGTGGAGGGAGAGGGCTGGATGCGGAGGGGGAGTTGAACTGTTGCCATTGGAGATGGCAACAGATGCTTCCTGATGGAGGCTGCGCTGGCTAATTCAGGGCTTTGTGGTTTGAGACAGAATCCCAATTATTTCCAATTAGGAGATTGTAGTGACAGCTGCTCTGAACAGGGCCTTCTCTCGCAGCTGAGAAACATCCACTTTCAGCTGCATTCAGATACCTGCATTGCTAGCATGAGGCATTCAGCCTTTTGAGGTTTATAACCTCTTTTTCTTCCACCTCTTACTATAAAATTCTTCTTCTCTCCCCCACACCACTTCTCTTGAGGAATCTGGCAAAAGAATCATCCTTATCTCTCCCTTACCAAAATCCATTCCTTTTCTCCTTGCTTTATGCAGGATTTAATTGTCCTGTTGTGCTGTCCAGCTTCCCCTCTTCCCACTTCTCCCATTATTCCTGCCTGCCGTGTAATGTATGGGCCCTGTAAGGCAGTTTTGGCCTGACCCAGCCAGCCAAAATCAGAGGAAAAACTGATTTTGTTTTGCCTGGGGAGAATACATCACAGAAAGTGTCTCATTTAGGGAAATTAAGGATGAAGGAAAAGGGAGAGCTAGGAATTTATTCTGGTTTACTGTTAAAAATATATCTATCTACTGCTGTGTGAAGGGCTGATATTTTCCCTTCACTTTTCTCTTTTTTGTCTCTTGTCAAACCGTATCACACAGTCCAGAGGCACAATTCAGGAGAAAGGGGCATAGGGGCCTTTGCTGGCTTGAAAATGCCGTCTGCGGTTGAGGAGTGAACAGGACAAGTCATTGAACAACAAGACACGTTTTGATCTGTTCTCATAGCTACTCATCAGAGGCAAATCTAATCCTCAAAATGCAAACTAAGACAAATCCTTTGGAAGGAGAAAGGGGAGTTTGCGGGTGCTGGCTTTATTTATGATTCAGCTAAACCCTTGTTTGTTTGGATACTGAGTCTGTTGAATCAAAGCAGGGCTAAGCAAACCCTGAAGTGTGTAGTGCTGAGACTTGGAGAGTCTCTCCCGGAGGTTCAGAGCCTCCCTAAGCAAAGGAACAGGGATCTTTCCTGATCTCCCTCTTCTACCCCCTTGCCCAGAATGCAATGGAAAGTTCATGATTTCCTTGAGGGGTATTTCCAGAAGGTGCTCTCTCTTACAGGGGAAGGTACCATTTAGCCAGGCCAAATCCACCTCAGGTTTGCAGTGTGAGCAGCAAGCAGCTGTAGGGCAATTTGCAATCAGAATTGCTTTCTCTGCTATAGCAAACCACGACTGGATGGAGCCCAGGACCTCTCTTAAGGAACTGTTGTTCTCTAAGTGTTCTTGCACCCCAGGGGTCAGCATGGGGATGCTGGGGATGCTGCCTATGCTAGGAAGATGATACCAAAGGGAAGCCAGGTCCTGCATTAATACAGGTGATGGAAGCAGCCATTCTGGGTTGGACATGAGCCTCTGCTGTACCAAGGAGAGACAACTTCAAAACCAATGGTGGCATCAAATCCACTGACATCAACAAGAATTATGACAGCAGGTTTTGGCCTATAGTGTTTTTCTTGATCCCCATACAGTCATGGTCTTCATCATGATTTCCATTTCACATAGGATCCAAGAGGCAAGTTTTTAGTCCAGGATATTTTTCATTGTGTTACAAAGCACTGAAACATGGCATTTGGATGACAGTGTTGTCTATTAATCCATGTGGAGCACTTAGATGCTACAGAAGATAAGTGCCTTGTAAATACAGATAAATAGATTAGATTAGACCTTGACAGTGGTTCATACAAAAGGCATTTCTATGTGCAAAAATGATAACATTGCAGAAAAATAGCTATTATTTGAAACCTTGGGATAGAGCTCCCATAATTGATATTGCTGGATGAAGCTAATGGAGAAGAGCTGCTGTGACTGCCCTTTTGTCACTGACTAATTCTTCCAGCAACCAAAACCACATTATCCAACTCCCATTTAGGCCTCAAAATGAGTGGCCACATTTTTCTAAGGAGCACAGCTCAGTGAGTACCAAATCCTTTCAAAACTCCTCTTGTGAGTGCTGTAATGGTGGGGACAAAGGAAGGAGAGCACTTTCCTCTCTTTTACATCCTGACTGCTTGGAAACCTGGATCACAGCATGGCTCAGCCAGCAGCCCAGAGAACCAGCTGAGGATGTGGACTTAGACAGGACCCCAGTGGAGGTATCCTCCTCAGCAATGGGAGACAGTGGATGAGAAGGATGTGGGATTCCTGCTCTTATTAGCTTAACCATGGCTGATCACAAGTTGAATTTAACTAACTGGTACCTATTCCAGCCCATTCAGGTACAAGTTCCCAGCAGGTGTGGGGTTTCTCCAACAATGTAGATTCATGTCTTTCTAATCTCTGGTCTACTGCAAATGGAGGCAGACCCTGGATCTTCATTTATCCCCACGAAAAGAAAAGATAGAAAAGCAGAAAATAAACATCAGAGTGATCTAAGAAATCCTGAAATAAACAGCAGTTTTGTTCCTCAAACGAGTTGCAATTAAGTAACGGCATTACTCCCTCAGCACCACTTGTTTCTGTTGCATTAGGTACAAACCCCAAGTGTTTAAAAGCCAGCAGATAAATAATTAAGAACGTCATACATCTTTTATTGCCTTCACAAAACATACAAAGGGTGAAATCCTGACCAGTCTGAGCACAGTGACAAAGTTCTTCTTGACTTTAGATGAGTTTGGATTCTAAGTCGTTTTGTCAAATACAATGAAATGTGTCAGAAAACATCTCAACAACCTTAATTCTGACTTTTCTATGACCACTTCTAGAATTTAAACAGAAAACAAATCCTTTTCAAACAATGTGGAACACCTCCAAAATGAATGTTGATTTGAAGACGATATTATGGACTTTTTTCTTTCACCTAGAAAACCGGGCACATATTACAAATGCAGTATAAGCTGTTAGTAATGGGACTTGGAAATAGTTCAAGTAACTAATTATATTTACCTCTTAGGAATATTCCTTCAAAGAAAATGTTTGTACACCAAATTCAATGAAATAGAAAATATCACCTAAAAGAGGGGAAACGAAAAAGAAAACAATCCACAGGTTAAGCAGGAGGTTGTTTTGCCTAAAGAAAAAGTGCACTTCTTTGTACTCAGCTAAAAAATACAGATTTAACATGTGGGCAGTATAGGGTTTCAGGAGTCCTTAATCATTCATTTCCTTGTTTTTAAGTGTGAGGGTTTTGCAAATGATGTGGTAAGTAAGTACATTGTTGTCACTTAGCAACCTTAACTCGTTTCTGAAGTGAGTTGTTTGTTTCTATAATAAATGAGACACTCAGATACCATGGTGATGAGCACAGGAGACCTTGTGTGGTTAGGCAGAGTGCTCTCTTGATAAATATGATATTGCTCAGAGGTACAAGCCCTCACAACTGAGGAGTAGCTCTTTGCTCTTGTCCGCAGCATAGAAACATGGTCACTGGCTGTGTTTGTGCTGCCTTACAAGGAGCACATGGAAGTTGCTCTGAGGATAAGACTCACTGCCTTTTCAGGCAGAAAACCCGGAGTTTTGGCTGGAGGTCACCTTAATAATATCCAAGACCTACTTGTCCCAGTATGTCCTTCATGGGTTTGTAGCCAGCTCCCAAATGCTTCATTGCTACCACCAGCCTTCAGTGTGAAACTTTATCTTTGCATCCAGCTTCACACCCCAAAACCACTGTCTTTTCATCTCCAGGCAGTCCTGCTAGAGCTGCACTGTGCCTTCTCTTGTCCCCTAATTACTCCTTTATTCACTTCTTCTGATGTGACACAGCTATAAAGCCAGCTTAACCAGGTGGCAGAAGATTGCTGGCCTCTGGGAAGCCTGCTGTGATAAAGAACCTTCAGTATGGCTCCTGCAGATGGGAACTGATGCCAAACCTTGAGGGCTGTGTCTGGGGAAAAGAAGTGAAAAGACAAATAGTATTGCTGAGATAGAACTCCCTCAAGTCTAAACTTCTGGTTTGTGGGAGTAGATTAAAGCACAAGGGTTAATAACAATGTAAAAATAGATTCTAGACATCTCTGTTCCTTGTTGAAACCGCATTTACTGTACAGGACTTCAGTAAATCCCTGGACATAGCTGATCCTGCTTGAGCTATACCTGATTCTTCCAATATCTCTCTTTCCTCTCTCCTTTTTCGCATTTCCTGACTTTACATGCAATATATTTGTATTGCTGTTGCTGCTGCTGGAGTTCAAATTAATCTTTTAAGGAAGGATGAGCCACATGAACTTTCTTTTGGTTTCAGAAATCACATCCATATTCATAATCCACTAATCATGTTTGATAAATCAGAATTCATTGTGAAACATACTAAGCCTTCGTGTTGCTTCAGTTTTTAATCTTGTAGGAGAAGCAATCATCTATGCACTGCATTTGAAGGGGTTGGGCTGGGCTGTCTTGGGTGTCTGGTTGAGTCAGCTTCCTTGTTTGTACAATTCAGCTTGTGCTGCCGAGTCTAAGCTATCATCTAAAAACATAATTAAGTCTTCAGCACTTCAGTAACAAGAGGAATCTTCACAGTGTGAATCAAACACCACCTTCTCAGTGATGCTGGCCTGAGTCTGCAACTTGTCTGGAAGAGCAGCTCTAAGCTTTCCCCTCCTTCCAGCAGTGCAACCACACTGAAACCTCAAGATCTTATCCTAGCAAGTCAGCAATGGTAAGTATTTTACCTGCAGTCAAAGAATAAACGGGGAGATGACTGTTTATAGAGATCAGTAGTGTCTATTATTAGGCAGTGATTTGTTTAACCTGGGTACAGTTTGTGGCTGATCATAGAATCCTAGAATGGTTTGGGTTGGAAGGGACCTTAAAACTCATCCAATTCCAGCACTCTGCCACACAGACACTTCCACTAGACCAGGTTGCTCCTAGCCCCATCCAGTCTGGCCTTGAACACTGCCAGGGATGGGGCATAAGAGTAAAAAGTTGGTCTTTTTACCCCTTCCTCCTTTGCATATGAGTGCACATGTTCAGATGCTTTTTAACTATTTGCAGTATGGGATATTTGGCAGCACCTGAAAGAATGCAAGTTTAGCTATGTCACAATTTTTTTTCCACATCAGGATTCCATGAATCCTGACCTTTCCCTTCACGAGTCCAGATCCTACAGTCTATTCTGCTTCTCTTGCTGCCTGTTCCGAGGTTACCTCTTCTTCCCCATCACCATGTGGCAACGTGGCTGAGACTAGAGACAAGCAGCCTGTGATAGGGGAAGGACAGTGACCAGGTGAAGAACTCTGGACCCCAGAGCACCTCCTGGGGATGGCGCAAAGATGGCCAGCTCCAGTCCATACACTGTTCTGCTTTTCCCACAGCCCCAAGATTCGGGCACCCATGATTTCCAAAAGAAATATAGCTGTTATTTGCTGAAGCAGATTCTGAGCCTGCCACACTTAATAATTCAGTGGTGAACTTTAGAGCTGAGCGCAGGTTGAAAAATAACTTGCTTTAGTAAGTACAAAATCTCCATTTCTGCTGCCTTTGCTTCTCCCTCCTCCTCTCACCCGTGGCCCCGGCAGCCCCCTGCAATCCAAACACTCACCATTATTATGCGGTGGAGCGAAAAGGAAAGACGGGAGGGGGGGAACTTCATTTCCTCTCTGTGGGATGTTTATTATTTCTTCTGCTCTAAGCGGTCCCAAGGTCTCTGTCGTTTTACGTGGTGTTTTATAACGGGAATTGGCTCTCATAGGCACCAGTGAGTTCATCTGCAGAGACACACGGAGCCTGGAGATCTGAATTTATACCTCCCTGATGCCGCTGTAATTGGGACTCCCAGGAGAGGAAACCCTGGCAAGTGACACAAATAAACCCTGCCAGACCCCTTTCGAGACCTGGAGCATCAGTAACCCCAGGAGGATTCCCATGATCAAATTACCCTTAAACAAATGCTTGGGCAGTAAGTAAGGCTGTAGCTGCTGAAGGTCAACGAGGTGTTTGTAGAACATGTTTACCAGGTTTATTTCCCATCGCCTGCTCCCATTCAAAGACTGAGTTGCAACAGTGGCAAAATGGAACTGGAAGAACGCTGCAGGCCTAATTAAAACTCATGACTCCAAACGGCTAGGAATACATTCATATAGGCCTTTGGTACCTCTGTAGCTATTCAGGCGTAATTAAACCAGCACTGTTTCCCTGAATATAAATAAATAATAGAAAGCACACACATTGTCTCTCCTGTGAACTGAAATTTGGCAATGTCTGTGACATTTGTTTGGGGACTTGATGACAACAATGTAAAGCTGTCTGCATCTCAGTGGAAAACAGGAGGTTAAGGAAGACTGATAGACAGGCAGACAGATACGGATATACAGATAGATCCAGACATATACAAATTATTTAGTTTGCTGCCTTTCTCCCACCCTTTTGCAGTCAGTACCTTTTTTATGCTGGGAGAACTGCACTGCATTGCTGCAATCAAATCTCGACAGCCAAAGCAACTGATCTTTAAATTCAGCCTGTGCCTCAGGTAAAATTATTTGCTGTTCCTCTCATGATACCAACCTGTGCGGCTCTGGGTCAGCCCCTTAACTGCTTGCTCCTGGTTCTTTTCTTTCTTTTTCTTTATCAGATTGCAAGCTTTCTAGGGAAATGACCTGTTGTATAAATGCATGTTATTTCCATGTAGGGGGAAAAACAATTAATACTGATGTGTCATTTAAACAGCTGGGAGGGAACGCATTTCAGGTGCTGCACTGCTTTAACTGCTGGTTAAAAGGGGGAAAGGCCCCATAAGTGACTCACAAAGTGTGCTGGTGTGAAAATTCTGTACTGACTTTGTACAGAACACAAACACCTCCCTATTATAAAAATGACAAGACAGAAATTACAGGTGTAGTTAAAAAATCATGGGATGAAATGCTCAGACCACATTATAAAGGAAGTTCAAACTTGAGGACCAAAAGAACTCATAAGAGTTCATATTCTGGATGTCCTACCAGAGGCTGCTGGGTTTGAAATAAGCTTATTTGTTGGTTAGCACAGAGCTTTGTTTTGAGCTCAATGGCTCAAATAGGTGCTGTATGATAGGTGCTGTATGGAAGCTTGATGGGACCCAGGAACTTCAGCAAGATTTTCTTAGCACTGTGTCAAGGGGTTCCTTCAACCCTTACTCGTTGTTTATCACTTAGTCATTAATTAACTGTTACATTACTGGATCTACCCCTGTTGACAGCTCACCTCTTGGGGTTTTGCTGCAATACAGACCATGTGCAGGCTCTGGATCTCCCTGGTCGTGTTCTGATCATATTCTTGTTAGTGAGCTTAGCTCTTCCATGCAGCCAGAGGAACAACTTGTGCCAAGAGGTTGGCAGTCCCAGGAGCAGAGCACAGCCAGCAAATGTCCCGTTCAGGACTCAGCTGCTGAATATGAGCTCCTATGAATACAGGCTGAGTATGAACTCCTGTTGTCCACATTCTAGTAAAGAGGAAGCCCAGAGATCTTTTCTTGAATGCTGGCCCTACAACCCAGAGGATGTGAGTGAAATCCAGCCCTGGTGCAGACCATGTGCATCAGCTCAAGGAGATGCCCAAAGGCACATTTTGAGCAAAGCCCCAATAGCTGCACCCACACTACCATGCAATACACAGTCTGCCCAGTAGCTCACCAGGTGCTGCACTTCCCAACAGGCCTAAGTTTACCCCATGCCCCAGTTATTCAATGCATGAGATTGTTCTGCGGGGTGATAAAAACTGCAACCACAGAATAGGCCTTTTGTGTGTTTCACTCATCTTACAATCACCAGAAGATGATTTAATTGCACGAGAAAATGTTCTTTTTAATCTCTTAGAATTAGTCATCTCTTCCTCAGTTATCTCTCTATATTTTTGGTTAGAGAGACTGAAAATCTTAATATATCAGTGACATTTATAGCACATGTTAATATTATAAAACGTCAGCGCTCTATTTGCAGAAATGAATACTGATGTGATGGGAGTGTTTTATTATGTCAATGACTTTTATTATAAATATGATAAAACTGTGTCATCTTCCTTTTTTTTTTTTCCCCCCCAAATAAAAAATAAACCCACCTAATCATTTATCTCAAGGTTACTGCTCAGCTACCTGGTTAATTTATTCAATCATGCTGTTAGGAAAAAATACACCCTGCAATGGATTTTCACATTGTGTGGTCATTTGATGGATGTTATCATTTACCTGCATGTTTGTTTAGGATTAGAGCGTGACAATGAATACTGACACAGTGGTTTCCTAGGGACACAAAGCCAGGAGGTGCAACCTAGCTTAAGTGAATAATTAATCATTACCAGGGAGTGAAAGATGGTTTGATATTTTGGATCTCCATTGCTCTCTCCAGCATGGCTATTGAAGCTGCCATGCCTCGATCCTACTAGCTCTGTCTGTAGATGATGCTCCCCTGGCCCTCAGGTTCATTGCCAGACCCGTAGAGATGTAGAGGCTCTGAATGGTATCTTGAATGAACCCATTGTGCTTTAAAACCATCATACTAATTAATCTTTATTCCTACAGCTAGTATTTGCAGTTGTGAGTAAGCTGAACCGATCACAGTAGGTAGCTGCACTTCCAACCCCAATAACAAGGTGGCAGCTTCACAAAAGGAATCGTTGGTTCATTGTAAGGATAATATTTTATGCAAAAATATTGGTAAATAATGAGTGTTAGTATGAATTTCTGCTCTCTGTTGAGATTTCCTTACTCAGTTTTTAAAATTGCAGTGCCAGAAGAATCATCTTTACAAGAAAACAAACAACATATTTAAAAGACAGAATGAGAAATCTTTATTTGATTCATTCAAAGTGCCATGATTCCAAAGACTGGGATTTTTCAGAATACCAAGAAACATCATGAATATGCCTCCAAAGTTGAAGGCAGCCGCCACTATGAATCAGCACATTCTTGGTCCTTGAGTTAACACACGGCAGGATGAGGGATCTATTCCCCTGGGGAGAAAGCACAGGGAGGACAGAGACTGCAGCATTAAGATCCTGCTGTTGCTATGGATAGTTGTGTGCAAGATTGAGGATTTTAGGGGTTTTATTTTAACTTCTAACTTTTTTCTTCTCCTCCCCTTCCCCTTCTGTCTCTCTGCTACCATCACTGGAAAGGGAAACCCAGGATTCCAGTCCTCATAAGGAAGACATCTGTTTTGTCTATCACCTCGGAGGAGGTCAGGAATGGGCTGTCGAGGATGACTGTCATACAGTAGGTAAGGGTGAAATTTAATAAGTGGGTGTATTTAATGGTAGGAATCTGTCTATAGAGAGACACCCAGACTGTGATTTCAGGAGACCCCTGTAACACTGCTGAACCCAGCAGAGTCATTGCATGCATGAGAAGAGCTGTGAGAGGGGTCTGCAGGGAGCATAAAGGGGCTGTTGAGAATGAATGAAGAACCAAGGAGCAAGAGAGACAGCCTTTTCAGATGCCACGGAACCAGAGTAGTGCAGGGCAAGGAAACTCCCTCAGCTGCTACTTGAATGAGAGATATCTCCAAGCTGGCTCCGCTCGCGTGCGCAGTGATTTGATGCTTTGGGGGAAGAGAAATAACTTTCTGCTGGTCTCCAATTCAGAGATCACCTGAAAGGGAGGACATGAAGTGACCGTCCCTGGGGGCACAGTTGATGGTACGCAGTGGGTTGAACCAGGACCATCCCCTGTCTATGCAGGAGAAGCGTTGCTCAAATGCTGCCTGGGTTATTAGGCTGTCTCAGCAGTGCGTTTATGATGGTTCCCCAAGGAGTCCACTCTGAAGTAGCACAGACACACAGGCGTAGAAGGCTTCCACCTCCCAGAAGTGAGCTACAACAGCACTTTAGCTGGAGACAGAGCAGCTCTTTAAAAGAAAATGCTGCAGCTTCTCTTTTAAATGCTCCACTGGGCTCTTGAGGTTTGCAGTCCTCCACAAGGCTCTGAATGCTAAAGGATACAGTAATGAGCCCTACTAATTCACAGCACTGCCCAGCTGTACAAGCAGCGAGTGCAAAGGTTGCAAAGCAGGATGTGGAAATCAGCTCATTTCAGTTTTCTTTACTCTCTTTCTGTTCTTAAGCCTTCAAAGGGGAGAGGAGATACATACCTTCATACATACATAAAATAAGGCTTATTCAGATGATTTCCTAATTAGACCTACAGGAAAGCCTGATCTCCTTCCATTTATACTGCTCTCAAACAAGCTGCTCCTGGTATCATATTATTATGAATGAACCACTCTCACTATAGACCTTCACTGGGGTCTTGTAATTGGAATTTAGCATATTTATAAAGCAAGGTCTATAGAAACACCCTTCTGTACAGCATCCTGTTACACTCAGGAGTTTAAAGACCCATAGGAGATAAGACTAGAGTAAGATCTCTCAAGGCACAGGTAGATTTTTAAGCCCCCAGAGACCACTGTCACTTGGGTTCTCCAGATGTGGCTGCAGATGTGCTGCTGTTCTTGGACCCTGCCAAAAAATAATGGCATTAATGCAAAAGGGTGGGAGAAAGGAAGAGAATCTATAAACAATATTTATATATGTCTTATCAGTAAGTCTATCTGTATCTATCTTCCTACCTATCAGTACATTTCCTTGCAACCCTCCTCTTGACACGTCTCCCATCTGCCCTTCAGCAGCAGTAGAGAGCTCGCCTTCCTCCTTGTTCAGCCAGTCCTGATGCACAATGTTGGGCGAATGCCAGTTGTGTCCTGACCTGGGCTGGGTTTTGTTTGCATTTCTCCAGCAAGGGAGCTTTTATAACCTCCACTTCTAATCTCATGCTTCAGGAGCTGGCTGTTGGGAGGGAGATCGCATGAGGAAAGAAACTCCCTTGTGTATATGCTGGGATTTCAAAACACAGCATGGATGGAGCACTAGAGAGCAAAGCTGACTGGAGGTCACCCAGGAGATGCCTTTAGTGAGTTCCAGAGAGAAAAGCATGGCGTGATGGTGCATATAATACCAGCAAACCAGTGGACCCTGAAGCAGAAGAGTGTCTTCAACCTGGTGGTAACTCTGGAATATAGAAAAGACTGAGACTGAATGGCTAAAAGGGTGAAAGGTACAGCAAAGGGCAGCTCATGGAGGGAGGAGCATGGGCTAAAGGTGAAGGGGAGATAACAATACGGAAGAAACCACTGTAATGACAAAAAAGACAATTAGGGGATTCAGTGAAGAATCAGAGGAAATGTCTGAAGGGCCTTAATACAAAGGTGAAACTGCCAGATCCATGATGTCGCTGATAAACATGAATAGCAAAGGGAAGGAATGAGGCATCTCAGGGACTGAGAGAAAGACTGGGACCAAGGATTTTGAAGAAAGAAAAGCTGCACAGAGATGCTAGAGAAAACCAGAAGCATAGCCCTGAGGGAAAGGATAAAGGATAAAGCAGAGAGATTGATTTATGGAGAGAGGAGGGCCTGGGAAAGGAGGACAGCTAAGGGGAAACACTGGCAAGAAGAATTCATTTGAGGGAGAGCTAATGCCATGGACAGGGACTGCCTGCCAGATCTTGGCACTGTTTTCATTTGAGTTTGTCACTTTGCCGTAATTTCACCTCCATCTACCCTTTCTGCACCCACCTTGCTGAGTTTCTTAAGGATGACTCATTAAAAGGAAAAAAAAAAAAGGCAAAAGAAAAGCAATAGCCACCTATTTCTTATTTACTACGAAAGGGCAAGCTGCGTTTTCTATTTGGGCTAGAAAATGCCTTTCAGATCTCAGCTGGCATTGGATCTGTTTGTTCTTTCTCAGGACTCTTGCTCTCCCTGCTCCTGTTTTTCACAGTTGCTCCTAAGAGGAGGGCAAAGCCAATACCGGCCAGGCTAGAGGTGAACTTTCAAACCCTTAATATTGGAGCAGGTTCAGAAGGAAACAAACAGAGGCTGCTCAGGCATAATGTAGGAAATGCCTGGAGACAGATGGCATTTGGAGCTGAAACAAGAACAGGAAGACCATGAACTCTGAGGCAGCAGGAGGATTTTCTGCTAGTTCCAAGAAGCCACCAGTGCTGTCTGGGGGATAAAGAGGGGTGCTAACAACATCCCCACGTGTGGGATGGAGCCCAGGTAACAGTGGCCTTTCCCTTCATGGAGATGTGACCTCGGCACTGTGGTGACAGTGAGTGGCAATTAATGATGACAGCTTTATAAGCGTATCTGTAACGCGGAGGCTTAGCTCCTGAACAGCTCCAAATGGGACTTTTAAAAGCTATTAAACCAGCTGTGCAGTATTTTTTGTTCCATAAGAACAGCAGTGGCAGGCTCTGTGCCAGTTTTCATTGTGCAGATGGATGTACATGTGGACTCACATATGTATGCATAAAACCTGGAAGGGTTGCAGTGTACTAAAGTCTTCCCTGCTTTCTCAGGCTACTTTCTGATCTCAGGTCTGATCAGAGGAAGAAGGGAGCTG